TGCCAGGCATTCGTCGAAGTTAGATCCAAGTATCTTGGAAGTGATGTTATTCCGGAAATAACATTCCTGACTAACACTGATTGGAAGATTCTTAGGAATTACGTTCAGGAAACTGAGTTTCTGAACACTGAAAAATAATTCTTCCAATTTTTTTTTATGATAAGAAGCGCACAACAGGCCCGATAGTGGCCTAGGTGTATTTCTTCGGATTTGATGTAGTATACATCCTCCTATCGACCTACCTACCTACTATAACGCAAATCTCAAAAGATTTAAAATAAATTTATTTAATAAATATTTTTTTTCATTTTCATTTGTTCCAGAAGTTATAAAAAATTATCTTATTTTGTAAGTTTATAGAAAAATCGCCAAATTAGCCACACACAAACTTAATGTTTTTAATAAAACTCACCACACAACAAACAAAAACTGCTGTTACAGTTTGCTGTTTTTTTAATAGGTTGTTTTCTTAACGGGTATCGACTATTTATAAAATAAATTCAGAAAATCTCTACGACATGTCCCATCAGCTAAAAATGCTTTTAGCTGATTTTTTTTCTGTGAGGTGATGCCAAGTCAGGTAATGTTCTTTTTGTTGCTAACTTAGTGCGTTAAATGTGGAAGTACACAACACGCGTTGAGCCGGCAACGAGTTTTACGCCTTTTAAACTTTTCGCGCTTTACAAGCTGCAAGTTACACATCACGCGTCACTTTCATCTTTATTTTAATGTTTTTAAGACTTACTGTTTTAAAAATCAAAATTTTAAGTTTTTGTTAATTTTTTAATATTTTTCTTTCATTGTTGGTGAAATTTATTCATTTAACTTTATTCTTATTCTACACAAAACAAAATATAACCCTGATCAGCTGCCGACGCGTCAAACGTTGAAAGTTGCTGAAATATTCGCGGCAGACGCGTTAAAAACTACAGTGTGTAACTTGTTAAATGAAAATACACTATTTTACGCGTTGCCGCGTCCACCTTAAGGTCCAAACACATACAATACTTTACCACGAATCATTGCTTTGATAAAGTGTGAAAAAATAGTTAATATGTTTTAATAACATAAAATAATATTTAATATAAACAATTGTTTAATAGAATGTCCCGTGGACAACTTTTTTGGAGGAATACCTTTCAAACGATGCGTATCAATGTACAAAATACGAGAAAAATAAAAAAATATTTTTTTTGAAAAGGCCCTCAATTCCCTACCAGCGATTGAAAATCTTGATCTCAGTACAATAAGCTCAAAAAATATTTTCTGCAATCTTTTCGAAATGGGTATCAAAAATTCCATAATGTTGAGCTTTTCGGGGGAAAAATAATTAAAATTTTTGTTAAACTATTCCTGGTCGCAAAACTACTTTTAGTGTATTATAAGGGGTATATAAATTTCAAAATAATCTAAAAAATTCTAAAATGGACCAAACCAAATGCCAAACTATTTTTTTTAAATAATTTTCTGTATAAACCTAAAATTACGACAATTTTAACACCTATTTCGATAAAAAGCGAAAATAATATTCCTCTCCAACCAACTTAAAATCATTTTGTGGACCAAAAATACTCTACAAAAATATTGAAATTATTTTTCCCTTAATCAACTCAAAATTACTGAATTTTTGAGACCCGTTTCAAAATAATCGAAAACACTTTATTTTTCAAAAATTATATTGAGGTTAGGATTTTCAATCGCTGGTAGGGAACTGAGGTTCATTCGAAAAAAAATATTTTTTATTTTTCTGGTGTTCAGTACATTAAAGGCCCAAATAGACTACACAAGCGGCTTATCAAACATACTTTTTTCATTCGCACACACATTACACAAACATTGCTCGTACAAACACCGTTTTTTCACGTTTTTGTAGACTTTCAAAGAAACAGATGTCAATTTTTCTTAGAAATGTAAATTTTTTGAAAAATTTGTTATTATTGAATATAAACCATACAAATGGTTTGACAAAAATATAATATGTTTGTGTAAAAATCAAAATTTTTTAATTTTTGTTCAAACAAACAGCAAGCATTTGTACAAACACGAAACACCCTCATACACCACACAACAGGCTTGCACAAACGTAAAATATTGGTATGTTTGTCAAGTCGCTTGTTTAGTCTATTTGAGCCTTAATACGCATCGATTGAGAGGTATTCCTACATGAAATTCTTAAAAAGGCTATTCCTCGGGACACTCTTATGTTTAATTTAATAATGGTGTTTTTTACACCCACATAAATCACAATTAAACACAACAAAAAAGACACACAATAATTTCGACAGTTTTGTTTTTGTTCTCATTTTCTCTTTTTGTTTTTCGTACGCCAAACTTGAATATTTTTCAACTTTTGTATTTCGTGCACAAGTTAATGTGTAACAAGTTACACATTGTAGTTTGTAACGAGTCTTCCGCGAAAAGTTCAGCAACATTCAACTTTTGAGGCGTCGGCAGCTGATCAGGGTTGTATTTTGTTTTGTGTAGAAACTGAAATGAATTCTCCAACAATGAATGAAAAATATTAAAAAATATACAAAAACTTAAAATTTTGATTTAAAAAACATTAAAAGAACGATCAAAATACCGCGTGGTGTGTAACTTGGCGCTTATAAAGCGCGAAAAGTTTTAAAAGCGTGAAACGCGTTGCCGCCTCAACGCGTGTTTAGACGTATTGATTGTGACCCAGGGATGGAAAATGAGATTTTGTTTCAGTATCAAAAAATATTTCTGATTGTACTTTTTTGGATCTCAGAGTACTAAAATAATTTTTTTGCTGAAAGTTGGTAATTTCTTAATTACATTTACATATATTTAGACATTTTTAAACAATCAACAACGGAAGTTGTTTAAATATTTTTTATTAATGAAATCAGGCCACATTTAACCCTACACAAGGATGAATTTAAAAATTCAACTTAACACTAATAATTGAGCTACAAGTATTAGTAACGATAGTTTATTGTCAATAAATCTTTTATATATGTGTTAATAAATTAAAATCCGGTGTACATAGGTGTTCATTTGTTAAAAACACATTGCGCTCCATGACATGAGACCTTACATAGTATATTTCCTAGTACATCAGATTCTGAATATGACAACAAACAATAATTTGCTTTAAAGTCCAAATATTTCTTATATTATCTATGGTTGAATGCTTAATTTCAATCATATCGTTTTATATTAGATAGAAATTGAAACCTTTGAGCAAAGAATAATAAGAAATTGGGGCCGTGTCTATATTAGACAAATATTTATCACAGCACTTGTCAAAACATCGGCAGAAAAAATGTCGGTTTTTTGTTTATGTTAATACATAGGAGTAACAAAATGCAAATTTTATCACGACAACTCACAGATAATTTTACTGAAATAAGCTATATTTTACAGAAACAATTGAAATTTTGTAAATAAACACTAATTTCACTAAAACTTATGTTATAAATCAATTTTAATTGCACAAAAACAAAATTCTATACAAATTTTACAATACCATGACGTTTGTTATCAAGACAACGTTGTCTAAACATTTGTTCAGACATCACTGTCATAACGTCTTTATAACGCCAATAAATGCTGTCTATACCTGCCAATTTTTTATCACGATAACAATTTGACGTTTAGCATAATAAATATTTGTCTAATATAGACACGGCTTAAACACGAGCTGTCAGCTACTGTTCGACGTAAAGTATTGTGTTTGGACCTTTAATACTAAATGATAGCAACTATACACAACTAACCTTGAAAGATAAAACATGTGTAACGTCCGGGTTAGTAAAACTGTATGGTCACAAGTCTAAATTTTGATCAAAATTTGTTTTTGCGTTAGTAATGTATACTAGTAATCATTGAAGCAGAAGAAGAATAAACAAAACGAACATAAATTTTGATCAAAATTTTGGCGTGTGGATATACAGCGATCACAGACGATCACATTTTACGTATGTAAAGTCTAATGAAGAAGTATAATGATATTCCATCCGTATGTCAAAAAAGAGAATAAATGTCGTATGATTTATATTTTATGTGTTTACAGGACAATAATAACAAAGTAAGATTGAAACAGCTGTTTCATATTTTGTATGTGTTTACATAAAAATACATCCCCGATCTAATGCGACATTCGTGATTTTTGAATAATTTCAAAAAATGCAGCACTAAGGTTAGTACTATTGGATAGTAGGTCAGACACAAATTTTCAGCACAATAAGTGACCACAAAGCTCTTAAAGGAAATAGTTTATGCTTTCTTTTGAGTAAAAAAATACAACAAAAATGTCAATTTGGAAAAAATAGAGGAAAATTAAGTGCCAAATATTGAAAAATTTTTATTCTTCCGTTAAAAGATAATTTTTTTGATAGATATCCCATTCGCATCCTATTATAGGGCTATAAAGCCCTTCAAGAAAATTGTATAAGCTTTGTTTTAAGCAAAAAAAAAAGGCCCATTTTGAAAAAAAAAATAAATTTTTTTTTGAAAGAATGAAGAAATAGCTATCTTAACTCTTTTGGACAATTTACTAGGACCAATAGGTGAAAAGTTCCACTCATTTGAATAAAACCCTGTATGACCAAAATGTCCAACTTTGATCCCCTCTGACTCCGACAGTTCTTGACCGATAAAGCTGAAAATTTGAAAGACATCGATTTTTAAAGTTGGATTACTTGACACGAAATTCCCCATGTATTTCAATTTGATTAACCATCTGAGAAGATTTGAAATTTGTGTATAAAATAAAAAAGCTACCATATTCATTCATATACTCACATATTTATTAATAGTTCAAAGAAAAAATATTTTATTTGAAACAAAAAATAAACAAATTTTAAAAACATGAAGCTTATTTAAAGAAAGAAACAATAAATAAAGAAGAAACCTATTTTACGAAGTATATCCGTACTATACTACATAAAATTTCGACAAATAATATTACTTGTGTGCTCGTGTAAAGGGGGCTTTAGACGTTTCTTTTCTGGGTTTAAATATTTAAATATAAACTTGGCTGCACTAATTGTGCCTTTTTAGTAAAGTATCTGCAGCTAACTTAACTATCTTCCTTTTTACATCGTGTAGCGTGACAGTGAAGGTGGGTCTCGGATATTTTACTGATTTAATTTTTTTCTGTTTTTATAAGTGTGTTTATTTATGGTTATAAAATATTTTTAGTGTATTCATTTTACAAAAAATATTTGGGTGAGTAAATAATTGCGGAATATGAGTTTTGCTGCGGACGATCACGTATATGGATTCCCATTTACAATGATTTTTTTTGATATAGCAAACAATATTCTGCTTTAAAGAGGGTAATGTAAATATGTATTTTTTATTTTAGGTGTGTTGAAAACAATTATTCTAAAAAATGCCACAAAATGAGTACATGGAACGCCATCGCAAGCTTTATGGGAGACGTCTTGATTTTGAGGAGAGAAAACGTAAGAGGGAAGCACGTCTACCTAAATTACGTGCAAAGAAAGCACAAAAGCTTCGTGGAATAAAAGCTAAACTCTTTAACAAAGAACGGAGAAATGAGAAAATACAAATAAAAAAGAATATTCAGGCTCATGAAGAAAAGAAAGTTAAGAAACAGGTGGAAAAAATTGAAGATGGAGCCTTACCGCATTACTTGTTGGATAGAGGCATCCAATCAAGTGCAAAAGTTTTGTCAAATATGATTAAACAGAAGCGAAAAGAAAAAGCAGGAAAATGGGATGTACCAATTCCGAAAGTTCGTGCACAATCAGACGCCGAAGTATTTAAAGTTCTTAAAACTGGCAAAACAAAACGTAAAGCGTGGAAAAGAATGGTGACTAAAGTAACTTTTGTGGGCGAAAACTTTACACGAAAACCACCTAAATTCGAACGATTTATTAGACCAATGGCATTGCGTATGAAAAAAGCCCACGTTACGCATCCTGAATTAAAGGCCACTTTTCATTTGCCTATAATCGGTGTTAAAAAGAACCCAAGCTCTCCCATGTTTACATCTCTTGGCGTTATTACTAAAGGTACAGTGATTGAAGTGAATATATCTGAATTGGGTTTAGTAACTCAAACTGGCAAAGTTGTTTGGGGTAAATATGCTCAGGTGACCAACAATCCAGAAAACGATGGAGTTATTAATGCTGTGTTATTGGTTTAAAGATAAATATTGTAGTGTTAAGGGTTTATTATAATAACAAGTACAATTTTTAATAAAGAGATTTACAAACCGTACAATACATTTTATTTACTTTTTTAATTATAGAAGAAACTTATTTCTTATTTTAATTTAATATAATATATGTATTTTTATTTATTGTTGCAGGGCAAAGCTAGAACGCAATGCAGATTTTTGTCAAAACCCTAACGGGTAAGACCATCACTCTTGAGGTCGAGCCGTCGGATACTATTGAAAATGTCAAAGCCAAGATTCAGGACAAAGAAGGAATTCCACCAGATCAACAACGTTTGATTTTCGCTGGAAAACAATTGGAAGATGGTCGTACCCTCTCGGATTACAATATTCAAAAGGAATCCACTCTGCACTTGGTATTGCGTCTTCGTGGTGGTGCAAAAAAGCGCAAGAAGAAGAATTACTCTACTCCCAAAAAAATGAAACACAAGAGGAAGAAGGTCAAGCTTGCTGTTCTAAAATATTATAAGGTACTTTTTAAACTGTCTACTACCAATAATGCCAATTGATCGGCTTCAGGTGGAATTCTTGAGTCTTGTTGATCTTGAGCTGTAAAAATTATTCGTGTTCACAAGAACATACTTTATTAAAAAATATCTACATATAAGCTGCTATACGCGTCACTGCGATTTCTTTTTTTTACAAACTAAGAAATTTGTCGATCTTTTGTCAACTTTAAATAATTAAAAAGTGGCCTAACTCTAACGCGAAATGTCAAAATCTAGGTATACACCAAAACAAGCAGGCGAAATAACAATATAAATATAGGACAATTTAAAGATAAAAAAATATGTTTTGTGTATATCTGATTTAAATTTAAATCAAAAAGTTATGAACATGACAGATGTAGAGTTGGGTTACTTATGAATTTCTTTACAATTACCGAAAATACATCTTAAATATTTTTTTTCTAACATAGGTTGATGAAAATGGAAAAATTCACCGTCTACGTCGTGAGTGTCCCGGGGAAAATTGTGGAGCAGGTGTTTTTATGGCAGCTCACGAAGATCGCCATTATTGCGGCAAGTGTAATCTGACATTTGTATTTAGCAAACCTGAAGAAAAATAAATACGCAAATAAAGATTGCTTCAGATATCAAACAATACATTTTTTAAGCTTTAATTTAACTTGCTTTGTTGGTTTGCAATGGTACAAATTTTTTAACAGAGTTTTCGACCAGTTTCCGTAGCACGATTTGGTTAAAACTTGGTACATATATATAACTACAATGTTATGTTCGAAAAATCGAAATTACCCACCAAAAAAAAAGTGAAAAAATAGTAGAATTTTCACCACAAATAACACACTTGAACCCAGCAAATAAAGTGGAAAAATATATAGAATTTTCATCACAACTAGCAACCCGAAGTGCTTCAAATTCAGGTGGGAAAACCTATGAATTTTACATTAACGTGTCATTGGAGGGATGTTCATTTTTCACAACTTTGAACTACATCTAGTCTTTAGAAGCTGTAAAAATCCGATATTTGTATGTCAAAAATAAATCGTATTCTTTCAATGACACGCTTATGTAAATTTCACTCGTTTTTAATCAAAATTTGAAGTGCTTCAGATATGTTGTTTGTAGCGACTTTTCTACATCTCTTTCCTCACTTGTAACTGTAATCTGATTTGTAAGGATATGTTTGGATTATAAAAGCGAAAAATATGCAATTGCATTTTTAGATGTGATTAAGATGTCGTTTGTAAAGTATGACATCAATTATTTTTACTTCCAATTTTGATATATTGACGATAAGCGTGTCATTGGAGGGATGTTGTTCAATTTTGACAACATCCAACTACACCTAATCTTTTTTCTAGAAACAGTAAAAATCAGGGCCCGAACATTTATAAGTTATATCAAAAAAGTTAATTTATAACAATTATTTTATGACTTTAAAAATCCACCCGAAAAAGTTATTTTTCAACCTAAAAATAAAAATTCAAATGAAACTTTTAAAAAAAGAGTTATATTCATGATAAAAATATCATATTTTTATCATGGTTATATTTTTGCGTCATAAAATAAAAATTATAAAAGGAGTTTAATTTTTTCCGACAGAAAATTAAACTCATTTTCAATAATAATGCCTTCCGAAGAAATTAAAAAAGCTTGTGTTCATTCACAACAGGAAAAATTACCATTTGCCATTTTTGATTCAGATATTTTCAACGTCAATACAAATCAACTATTTAATGGACTTGGTCAGATATACTCAATAAAATAAGAGACTGAAAAAATATTGTTTAATTTTTTGACTGGGGAAACAAAACTCCCCAAATGAGTTATTTTCTGATGGAAAAAATAAAACTCCTCAAATAATTGTTATTTTATGACGGAAAAATAAAACTCATTTTTTTACTGTTTCAATCAGACTTTTATTTTTCCGTTAAAAAATTACTGTTATTTGTAGAGCTAAGGGCGTTTTTTTAAATCACCATATATTCTGTAAAAGCACGGATTTGAAAAATTACTAATTGCAGCCGCAATTTACTAAGTATTTTACTAAATTTAGTTTTAGGCTAAAAATAGTTAGTTAGTTTGAAAGGTGGATGTATATACATCAAATACGAAGAAATACACCTAGGCCTCTATCGGGCCTGTTGTGCGCTCCTTAACCAGTGCCTCAGGTGGGAATCGAACCCACCACCTCCGGTCTACCAGACTAGAACACTAACCACTAACCTACCGGAGGCCACTAGGCTAAGAATAAGTAACTTGTTAAAATTTTTAATCACAAACTAATTGAATACAGTAAACTGTGCGCACACCACAGATAACCAGATAAGAAACCATTGACAGCTGTCAAAAAACTAAATTCGAACCGTATGGTTTTGTTTACATTTTTTTACGATTTTTTTGAATTCCGCCATTAGGTAAAATTTTAGAGCAAAAGAAAAAATAAAATGTATTAAAAAATCGATGAGTGCCAGGTATATTAATTTTATAAGTTAGTGTCGTCAGCGAATTCAGAATACCGAGCGAATTGGTTATATTTTTTTTATATGTAGTTTGACATTGCGCCTGCACTTGAATTGGCTGTCAGGGAAAAATTTCAAAAACAGCTGACAAATAAATCAAAACGAATTTTTGTCAAACAAAAAATGTTTAAAAATTTGAATCTGTTTGTAATTTAATTTGATGTTTTTAAAAATAAAACTAATTTCGCAAAATGTTTCAGCAAAAATTCTACAAATGAACTGCCACAAATTATTGTCATTTATATAAAATTATAACCCGCGTGAAGAAAATATACCGGTAACAAACCTAACTGTCAAAAAACTACATACACAGTTGCACAAGAAAGTAACCCCAAAAATAGTACTAAAAAACGCATTTTTGCAACTATACAATATAACTTTTGACAGTTTGTTTAACATACTTTTGCTGTCACTATTTAGGTGTTATTTAATAATATCATTGTAAATTTAATGATTTTCATTAAAAAATCATTCAAATTCGGGAGAGATTTGTTTAAGGAACCGATTTATAGTGTTTTCACAGTCTTAAAAATTAGCCAATTATATGGTATTCACTATTAAAGTGTTATTTTTCAATATTAACAAGTATATAGTATGTTGATTACAAAATCGGTCAGATATTGTGGTGCCAAAAAAAGATATAAAAATTTCGAGAGATAATTGTCCTAGGAACTAGCAACTATACAATATAACTTTTGACAGTTTGTTTAACATACTTTTGCTGTCACTATTTAGGTGTTATTTAATATATCATTGTAAATTTAATGATTTTCATTAAAAAATCATTCAAATTCGGGAGAGATTTGTTTAAGGAACCGATTTATAGTGTTTTCACAGTCTTAAAAATTAGCCAATTATATGGTATTCAATATTAAAGTGTTATTTTTCAATATTAACAAGTATATAGTATGTTGATTACAAAATCGGTCAGATATTGTGGTGCCAAAAAAAGATATAAAAATTTCGAGAGATAATTGTCCTAGGAACCGATTTATGTGGTTGTCACTTTCGAAAAATTAGCCAATTATATGGTATTCACTATTAAAGTTTTATTTTTCAATATTAACAAATATATAGTTTGTTGGTCATCAAATCGGTCAGATATTGTTGTGCCAAAAAAAGTCCCACAAATTTCGAGAGATAATTGTCCTAGGAACCGATTTATGGGGTTGTTACTTCCGAAATATTAGCCAATTATATGGTATTCACTATTAAAGTGTTATTTTTCAATATTAACAAATATATAGTTTGTTGGTCATCAAATCGGTCAGATATTGTTGAGCAAATAAAGTATCACAAATTTCGAGAGATAATTGTCCTAGGAACCGATTTATGGGGTTGTCACTTTCGAGAAATTAGCCAATTAGTATTCACTATTATACAATCAACAAACTATATACTTGTTAATATTGAAAAATAACACTTCAATAGTGAATAGCATATAATTGGCTAATTTCTCGAAAGTGACAACCCCATAAATCGGTTCCTAGGACAATTATCTCTCGAAATTTATGGAACTTTTTTCGGCTCAACAATATCTGACCGATTTGATGACCAACAAACTATATATTTGTTAATATTGAAAAATAACACTTTAATAGTGAATACCATATAATTGGCTAATTTTTCGAAAGTAACAACCCCATAAATCGGTTCCTAGGACAATTATCTCTCGAAATTTGTGGAACTTTTTTTGGCACAACAATATCTGACCGATTTGATGACCAACAAACTATATATTTGTTAATATTGAAAAATAACACTTTAATAGTGAATACCATATAATTGGCTAATTTTTTGAAAGTGACAACCCATAAATCGGTTCCTAGGACAATTATCTTTAGAAAATATTATAATTTTTTTGGCACAACAATATCTAACCGATTTTGTTAATAGCAAAATATAGAAAGAAAATGTATCTAAAATTTTTCACATTTTTTTATGAAATAATTTCACAAAAATTAGCTATAAGTGAGTTTTTTAAATTTTCTATAAAAGAATTTTTTAAATTTTCTATAAGAGAAATTTTTAAATTTTCTATAAGACAATTTTTTTAAT